TCGTCAAGAGCACCCTTTCGTGCAGCGCAGAACAACGACAGGACCATGATGTCGGTATAAGCATCGATAGGGCCATCCTCGACTAGCTGTCCTAGACCTTTTGAGATTTGAGCGAGGTCATCTTCTCTCCGCTCTCGTAGTACTTTCGTGAAGACCAATTCCGCCTCGTAGAACAATGCAAGAGACGAGGCAGCAGAGGGATATTGGCAACCCTGTTCCTTGTACCAATTGATCCTAGTTTCGACCAAGACCTCTGGTGAAGCCGATCCCTCAAGATAGGCAACCGTGTTGAGCTCCTTTAGCTGAGCTAGTGTCGGGGCGTCCACAAGTTGTCGCCGGATGTACGCACACATGGCTTCAGAAAGATCGCCCTTGGCATCAGTCAATGATAGATGTTGCAACAGCAAAAGTCGTTCTTCCGGACTCAAGGCGTCAATGTCCTGGATGATGCGGCGCGGTAGCCCAATTTCCTCGTTGATATCTTTTGACCATCTCGCCAACGCGATTTCGGCCTCGAAACAAACGTGACGGGGGTAGCCTTTGGCGGAGAGGAAGGTGTGTAATACGGTGCCAGCCAGTCCCTGGGCATTCTTCGAGGAGAAGACATCAAAACCATCCGCGTCCATTTGATACACAGCCCAGAAGCGAACATCAGCACTCTTGCGTAGACCAGAATCTAACCCGAGGTAAACTCGCAACATATCGTTGGACGCCATGTTCGACAGTTCCTTGATCGTGGCGGCCAATTGGTCCGAAGCCATCCAGCTCGAGAGGGCAAAGTTTTCATAAAACTGTCGAAGGAGGAGCCCCATGTTTTGCATTTTCGACGACGGAACCGGATGAAGAAGATTCAGCGACTTCAGACGCTGCTGGGAATGAACGATTTCTGCGAAAGCAACCGGGGTTGCCTCTGAGCCGAGCGGAAAACAACCAAGTTCCTTGTATTCGACACCAGCCATGGAGATGGATAGCGGACTGCCCTGAGACTTGACTTGGGCGACCCATTCTGGAGGCTCGCGGAGCTTGTTGGCGGGAGTGTTTCCAATTTTAGACGAGTGTTCCGAAGAAAAGAGCAAGTCGTCGAGAGATGGAAAATATGCGCGCAGTGTATCCCAAGAGGTCTTGGCCACATAGTTGCGTGCGATGTCGAGGTTGGTGCGCCAGCGATCGTGGGCCTTCATGGTCTCTGCATCTTTCAGCCAGCCAAAGGAGGACAGCGGCTCCGGGGTTTTGACATTGATGGCAGCATTCTCCAGAGCGGACTTGCGGCCAATCCAGGGAATTGCACTGTAGAAATTACACCACTGCATGGATCGTTGAACAACAGCATTGGAAAGCGTAACATCGTCGTCGATGGTTTCCCAGGCCAGAACCAAAAAGTCTCTCATGCATGCCTCTGATACAAAGGCTTTGATGGTTGGACGCAGCTTGTCGAGCTGGAAATAGTCGCGCTTCTGACCGTCGGGGAGGATGCTAGCATTTCGGACGACCAGACCAGAGATAGCCGGAGTTTGTAGCGATTGGCCATCCTCGAGGAACGTGGGCGGTCCTGTTTCCAGATACACGGCCAGACCCAGACCATGGATGGCTTCAGCCAGTTTGGTGAGGACCTTTGGCGTGAACTTGTCCTCCCAGTTCGCAAGCACAATACCGGAGAAGGCACTTCCGTGAAAGCTCCCGGCCAGGATGCTGTCGATGTTTTCAATGGCGGCGAGAGTTGAGTCCTGCTGGGAAGAAACTGGGGCGAGATCAACTCGCCCCAAAACCTGCTTCCCGTCGATGTGTGAAATGGCCTGAACGACCCCCGACTTGGACGGATCCACAATCAAGAGGTCGTAGCGATCGAGAAGCTGACGATGCGTCTCATCCAAGGGAGTAGCAAAAGTACCTAGGTAGACTCCCACGGATGTAGGCTTCCGTTTCGTGCGATGCGCCGCGGCCAGGGTAAATTGTTGGTTGGCGATCTTGTCCAGGCGTTGAGTGACAGCAGCCGGAACAACTTCGACACGCGGTCTTGTCTGAAAGGATATATCAGACAAAGTGATTCCAATTAGCATATACATGTTGGGTGTGAGAACCCACCTTATACCATCGTATGGCTCTGCGGGTGCCAGAGTAGGTAAGATATGTACATCCACAAACCACACTTGCCAGCAAGATGGCAATTAGGACCTAGCAAGAGGTTAACACAAAAGTTTCTCCGAAGCAGGGCACACAGGCACGTACATATTGCCACCAGAATTCTCTCATGAAAACCCACCCGACGGGTGAGACGTCGAGGATTTGCGCCATCCCGAAGAGAGATTAACGGAGCAAAGTTGCGAAGCGAAGGACATGTAGTAGCAGGAGCATAACAGGAGATCGAGCGGACAGTATTAAACTACAATTAGAGGCTCGAATCGGACATAGGGAAAGTTTGTCTTTCTCTAAGCCATGCTCCAGGTGGGTATTGAAAACCTAACCAGCGGGGGGAGGGGTGAATAGAATAACGAGTAGTAAATAGTAACGATAGACTGTCTGGGAATATAAACGAAGGGAAGGAAGTAAGAAGGTGGTGAGAACGAGGGGCGCCACCGGAAGGATAAAGAAAGGCAAAATAAAAACAAAAATAAAGAAAAGAAAGTAAATATACAAGCAGATGGAGGATGGAGTGATGGGATAGGATGGGATGGATCAAGGAGGGAATGAACCAGCAGCAGCCAAAGTGCCAGCCTCAGGACTTCCTGCACTGACTTGTATGATTGAGCGAGAGACAGAGAGAGACAGGCAGCGTGTTAGGTCAGCGGCTACTGCAAGATGTCAGTTAAGGTCCATCTTTTTTAATTTTTTATTATTTTTTTTTTCTGTCTGTCTCCTCTTTCTTTTTCCGCCTGTTTGGGGGTTTTCTTTGGGTCGCATTAGATCGGGACCACTACTGGGTCTGATGCAATTGGAATGGCCGGCGGCGGACCAACCCAGCACTGGACAACAAAAATAGCAAGGCCTTCGTCTCAGCTTTCGCAGCTAACTGGCGCTAAGAAGTTTAGGTCTGTTTGACGATGAGTACTACTAGTACTGTCATGTTTAGTTTTAGTCAGTCTCGGGCAGAAGCGATGCCATGAGGGAATAGTGGCAATGGTAATCAATAGCAATGATGTTGGCCTTTCTGGCGGCCAATTCCGTAGAATTCAGAGTTTTGTTTTTATTTTATTCTTTTTATTTATGGCGTCGGAGTACGCCAGGAGGCTAACAAGGTGATCAAATTAGATGACTGGGAAAGGAGAAGGTTCCATTCATGGGCAAAGCGGTGGTGGTGGAGGGGGAGACACAGCGGTGCTGGTGACGGGGGAAGTTCTTCCATGCATCGTCATTCGTGTTGCCTATTGGTCTAGGATGAAAAAAATTGCTTTTCTTGCTTTGTGGTCTGCTCCTTACATTAGCCCAAGTGGAGAGAGAGAATTGTAGACTCGACTGGACTCGACTCGACTCATGAGAAAGAAAAAAAAAAAAGGGCAGAAAAGGAAAGGATGGCGGTGGTGGAGAAGAGCACCTGCAGCTATCCAGATTAGGGCAAGTTCCGTATGCTTACGGAAACATCCCGTTGCCATGTATCCGAACATACCGTATTATACACTCTATGGTTTTACAAAAAAGACCACCCGTGTGACATGGATGGAAAGTTTGTATTACCCCTCGGTGTAACAAACACGATGGAGTCACTTTCCCATCTTCACCATCACCTCCGGGGCCCTAAACTCAAGTCCATTCCTTCCATGTTCCTGCTGAAGGTTTTCGGGTGTGCCTAGTCGATTGTTCCTACCCCACACCGGTGCTAAAGTCGATCTTTCGGGCTTCCCAGAATCCCAACATTCGCCTCAGTCCCCTAAACCCTGAGTAAAAAGGCAAAAGCCACTAAATTTGGACCCTTGGCAACCCTGGTTGGGCCTCTCCCTCTGCCTCCCCGTCTGGCTGGCCCGGTGCCACAAAAGTGCGGCCAAGCAACCATGTTGGTGCGCCTCTATGGTTAGCTTGTTTAGATTTTTCCCAATCTTGGCTAACTATGCTATACTAAGCCCAATTCAATCCAGGAACTCGTCCTATGATGGGTGTCCTCGGTCAGACTTCGGGGGGCCAATTTCCACCAGGGCAGTCCGAGCCCCAGGAATGTGAAAGACTAGTCACAATCTTGAACATCCATAGAAACCATCCCCTCAGTCCCTTGGAAACCAGGCAAAGCTTTGTCTCGGCCTCGGAATTAGATCCATGAACCGGTCCATCCATGAGGGTTCTAAATCGGAGAGCGGGTCTGCAAGGACCCTCCAAGAGGATGCGGAATCTATGAATCGGGCTGGGTCGTGGAACCCTCGGAGGAGGGAGGGGAGGGCCGTCCATCGCGACGATTTGGTCAGGCCAAGCAAGTGGAAACGATAGGTTCCCAATTCTCCGTGCGGTTGCTACGCCCATCTGTCCGGGATAAATAGACATACATAATGTGATTGCACGCGCATATGACAGCCCGCTCTTCCTTCTCTCCACAACCGAAGGCGTTCTTCCAGGGGTCCGTTGCTGCAGGTCCACCTCAGTCATTCGTTATCATTCGTCTTCGCTTGCTTGTCCTTCGTTTCTTTTTCCTTAGCGAAGAGGGGGTGGTGCTCAGTGCCTGAGCCGTTCGTATCGCAATGAATACCCTAAAATCGTCGATTACCAGTCTCAACTGCTTTCTGGGCTTTATAACTTGCAAGACTCCCCCGGGGATTTGGCCACAGAATCCGACGGTGCTGACCAGTGCATCTTCTGCCTCATCTACTCCTGTCGCTGAAGTCACCGGGCCTACCGCTCCTGGTACTACTTCAGCTGTCCATTCGTTGACTACCACGACTACTTCTTCTTTCGTTTCCTTCTTGTCCAGTACTAGCTCTGCCCCGTCCAGCTTTGTGACCTCGGCAGCCTCTTCTACCACATTCGTTGATACCTCTGCTAGCGGGTCAGTCAGCGCCCTAAGCAGCAGCACTGCCAGCACTATGTCTGTCAGTCTGAGTCTCAGCTCGAGCATTGTGGCGTCGTCTGCTGTTCCTGCAGCGACGCCCGTCAGCAGCGGCTCCATCGCCGCAAACATCCTGGTGATTGCGCGCGACACTGCCTCTGCAGGCGTGGCATCATCTGGTCTCAATGCCTATGGCATTCCCTTCACTACTCTGGTCGTGCCCCAGTCTGGCGCCAGCCTGCCCGCCCTGAACGGCACCGAAGGTGGCAACTTCGCCGGTATTGTGGTTGCCAGTGAAGTCAGCTACAACTACGGCAATGCCACAGGGTACCAGAGTGCTCTCACCACGGACCAATGGAACCAGCTATATGCCTACCAGCTGGCTTACGGTGTGCGCATGGTGCAGTACGACGTGTATCCGGGCCCTAGTTACGGCGCCAGCGCTGTCGGCGACGGCTGCTGTGCAACCGGGGTCGAACAATTGATGTCGTTCAGTGACATCAGCGACTTCCCCACGTCTGGCCTGAAGACTGGCGCTGGTGTGAGTACCAGTGGCCTCTGGCACTATCCTGCCACCGTATCCAACACCACCTCCACCAAAGAAATCGCTCGTTTTGCCGCCAATTCCGACTCGGGCAGCGAGACCACTGCTGCCGTGATCAACAACTTCGATGGCCGTGAGCAAATGGCCTTCTTCATCTCCTTCGACACCACTTGGAGCGCCACCTCCACCTACCTGCAGCACGCATGGATCACCTGGCTCACCCGCGGCCTGTACGCGGGTTACCGCCGCGTGAACCTGAACACTCAGATCGACGACATGTTCCTGGAAACCGACATCTACAAGCCCAACGGCACCACCTTCCGCATCACGCCGGCTGACCTGGACGGCATTGCTAACTGGCTGCCGGAAATCAATGGCAAAATGAACGCCGGCAGCAACTACTACGTCGAAGTCGGCCACAACGGCAACGGCAACATCGAATCCGCCGCCGGCGTCTCCGACGAGGGCTACACCACTTGCAACGAGGGCGGCATCGAGTACGACTCGCCTGCCGACACTCCCCTGGAATGGAAGAAGCCCGTGGGGACCGGCACCAACCTTTGGCCCTCCTCTCCCACCACCTACGACTGGTCCGTTGCCTGCACGCAACTCGACCCTCTCCTCCTCTGGTGGACCAACACTACCAACCAGGACAAGTTCGGCCACATCTCCCACACCTTTACCCACGAAGAGCAAAACAATGCCACCTACTCCGATGTCTACAAGGAAATCTCCTTCAACCAGGCCTGGCTGAAACAAGTCGGCATCTCCTCCGCCAAGCACTTCACTTCTAACGGTATCATCCCTCCCGCCATCACGGGCCTGCACAACGGCGATGCCCTGCGTGCCTGGTGGGAAAACGGAATCACTAACTGCGTCGGTGACAACACGCGCCCTGCCCTCCTGAACCAGCAGAACGACATGTGGCCCTACTGGACCAATGAAGCCTCTGACGGTTTCGACGGTATGCAGGTCAACCCGCGCTTCGCCACCCGCATCTACTACAACTGCGATACCCCAGACTGCACACTGCAGGAATGGATCGACACCTCCGCTGGATCCGGTGACTTTGATAACTTGCTCGCTACGGAGAAGGGCGAAGTCATGCGTCACCTGTTCGGTCTGCACCATGACCCGTACATGTTCCATCAGGCCAATCTGCGTAATGCCGATGTGGACACCATCACAGTCAACGGCGTCTCGGCCAAGTACTCCATCTTCCAAGCGTGGGTGGAGACCCAGGTGCAGGAGTTTGTGCGCTTGGTCGACTGGCCCCTTGTTACCATCAACCATGAAGCTGTATGTCTCCCCCATTCCCCAATTTTAAGTCCAACCCAAAGATGATACTAATACGATGAATAGATGTCCGCTTCCTTCCTGGCCCGCTACACCCGCGACGCCTGCAATTACTCCCTGCGCTACACCATCTCCGATCACAAGATCACGGGCGCCACTCTCTCTGCGACGGATAATACCTGCAATGCTACCATCCCTGTCACTTTCCCCGTGGCACCGACCAACACGCAGAGCTTCACGACCGAGCAGGTCGGAAGTGACCCGTTGACGGTGTGGGTGCAGCTGTCGGGATCGCCGGTCAGCTTTACGCTGTCGACGCCGATTGCGCTGTAAGATGAGTTTCTGAATGTTCATAGTATGTGTAATGGATATATTAGATACTAGTCAGTTACTACTTGGTTAGGTATGATACTTCGAATTGAATATATTAGCTATTAATTAGTTGGGCGGGATGAATACGAATATGACATAAATACAACGAAAAGAATGGGTATTAAAACAAACAGGTTTCTTTCCTTCTTCCCCCCCGCTTAGTATCCTAGACTATAACACAGCAAATATAGCAACAATCAATTTAATCCAAACCATTCCAAGTACTCAACCCTGCTATATTTCCCCCACACTACTATCATAAAAAAACAGGTACGTACGTACCCTCTCACATTCCTAATGAGGCATGATGTATCTCTGCAGGGTCTCTTTTTACCGGCTATCCATGTTTTTGGCAGAAATCAAGAAACCCACACATTCTTGGCGGGGTACAGGAATGTCATTGGACTGGTTTCAGCTGTTTGTTTGCTTCCTCTGTACGTACCTTAGTACCCCGTACTATTAATACCCTCCAACTACGGAGTACCTCCCATGGACAACCCGATAATGCTATTATCTAATGGCATGGCATGACGCCACGAATGTGGCAAAAGTATCGAGTCAATATTTTTGTCTGTTTTCGATCACATCTAGACTCGAGTAAACAAATAGCCGGATTCATCCGTGAGTAGGTAGGTTTTTCTCTCTGTGGCAAAAATATTGAGGCCGGATGGATGAGATGGATTTGAATGGGGAGGTCATGAGTCGGGTACTAGTAGATCTTGGCGGGACTTTTTCGTTTTGGGTTGGTTTGGGGTTTTGGAGCTAATAGACGAGGAAAGGGAGGATTGATTCGATCTAGATCGATTGGGTAACTTAATCGGGATCGAATTTCGGGATGCGCTTTGTTCAGAATCCTTTTCCATCGCATGGTTGGTTATCCGTGCTTTCCGATCTGAGACATATTGCTTTGTTTTTTTCTATCTGTTTGTGTCATGGGTATTAGATGGATGGGTTTGTGTTAAGTTATGTTATGTTATGCGCGAGATCAATTTATCCACACATCTACACAAGAATACTACAAGGATGGATAGAGCGAGCAGGGCTTGGCTTAACTCCGAACACATCATACGGTGTAAAACGTTGTACATTAGATCATCACACTACTAGTAACTATCCAGTAGAAATACTAGACATGGATGATGAATATAGTCAACTAACTAGGTATGCAACAACTCGTATTCCCACATCCATCTCATCCATCTACCTACTCCGCCCCAACACTCCTCCTCCTCTTCCTCCGCATAATACTCAGTAATAATCAACATCCATCCCATCCCATCCGTCCGAATGACACACTAACACAACATGACACGACATCTAAGAAATCACATCACGCCAAGCCAAGCAACAGGGGTTATACTCCCGCCCTCGTATTCGGCCTCGGCGAGTTCCCAACATTCATCATCCCCGCCCGCAGTCCTGAATAGCCCTAGTCGAATATCAAACCCGACAGGGGTGTAAGTCTAAGCCGCCTTCCACCCCTCCCTCCGCATAGTCGGTGGTAATTACTCAATGAGGTGGAGATTTGCTTCTTCTATACTACACTACCATCATCACTACTACTAATACTACTGTCTTTTCGTCTTGTGTAAGAGGGAGGGGGATCGGGCTTCTCCGTAGCAACCGTCACACACATACCTGCATGTCAAGCTTTGACTGACAGATGGATACCTGGATAGCTGGCTAGCTGCCAGGGTCCAGGGGCGATGTGTTGGCGAGGTGTGACTGGTTTGGTTTCTTCTTCATGTACTCTAGGGGGAGATTTTGAGGGTATCCCCGTTAGGGTCGGTGAGTACATAGCTTACTAGCTAGCTAGTGAGTCGGCTCCGAGGGGAGGTAAAGTTGAGTCTGGAGTGTGTCTACTAGTCAGGTCAGGTCATAAGATCCATCACATCAGAACAGTGTGCTAGTAGTCCGGAGGAAGTCTTCATTAGGTTAGATAAACAATAACTACTCCGTACTAGTCATGCATCGCATCAACATCCCCGCCATGACAACAACGTGGTGAATTGGAGATGACTGGAATGGAATCCCCCTGCTGGCCAAGCCAAGCCAGCGGGTTTCCCTCCGCCGGCGGTTCTGGCCAGATTTTCTCGACGGGCGAGTCAGGCTGCGGCTCTAGTGTAGAGGCCAAGACGTATACGAGAGAAGAAGTAAGTGTCTAAGAGGAGATGTAAGCCGAAGACTCAAGATAGACTAATGTTTGACGATGGCTTAGCGAGCCAGAATAAGACTCCTCCGTGGTGTTGCCAAGCCTGGTATCGAAAGTTACGCGGTACAGATGCTCTACACAGCGGAGCGGATTTACAAAACCGCAGTAAATACCATACCACTGTGACCGTAACGAGTAAAGGATCTTACTGGATCTCGGGAGTTGCGGTTAGTGTCCGAGGACTTCATGGCTGGATGGTTGGATGGATTGATTGGCAAGGTTCCGGCCCGATGGGAGGACAAGAAAGGCCAACGCACAGAATCAAGGGCCCAAAGAAGCAAAAAAAGGGGGGGAAGAAGCAGACAGCAGCGCAGAATTTGTTCTGTTCCTATTACGCTATTAGCCGTTCTGCCTCCGTGAAGTTTTTTCACGGCAGAAAAGAAGGGGGAAACTCTAAACCGGCAACGGCAAGTGAAGACGTCTCGCTTAGCCCGACTCAGAATCATTGCCTTTTGCCTCCAGCGTGTCGCCTAATCCATCGTCTATTTTGGGGGCGGCAGCACTCAAGAATAGCAACGCCAAGGGTTATACACACACCCAGCGCCAAGTCGGCATTGTCGAGTCGACGAGCTTGTCCTCTATTCCAGGATCACTGTGTTTCAGCTGCTCACTAGCTCCGAAGCCGGAGTGTTCCATGGTTGGCGGTGGAGATGGCTCTGGTGTTTCGAGCATCGAACAACCGTGGAAGTTCCTGAAGAAATCGCAATCTCTGGTTCCCCAATTTGTGGACTGAGCACGGTCGCATCTTGCGATCTCTGTTTATTTTCCGCTTAACTCTTTTGGTAAGTGACCCAAGATTGAGTAGACAGACAGACAGTCAGTCATTCACTCCAAGCCATCCGGCCGAACCCGGTTTGTCCACCAGTCGACGTGAAGCATCCAACGCCAAGTTGATGACCGGACAAGACACCGGCGCCTTGGTAGTTTTATTCTTGGCCAGTTAGGCTCCCGAATTTTCCCCTCTTTGTCTTCCGGCGTTTCCCCTCTCGTAGTGCCCATCGATTAGGGCAGGGTTGCACAGCTAATGAGAGTGGCGGGACGATTTGCAGGGTCCAGCTGGTTCCCTTCAGGGTCCGACTCTCTCACCACCTCACCACACTGCCTATCATCATCACCAACTTGACGCCCCTACAGTTTCGCTCATTTGGCAAGCTGTTTCAGACGGCGTGCTGCAATATGAACCGGAGATCCGTGTGACCAGTGAAGCTTCTTTGACTTCATCTTCAGGCAACTTCATTTCCTCGAGCTGCAATCGCCCTGGTTTGACAGGCAGATTTCGGTCTAGACTCACTGGTGACTAGTGACTGTCTCTGCACTGCGCTCCACCTTTTATTCCCCGTAGCCCCGGATCTTCTTCTTTCCTCTCGCGCGCGACATTTTCGCGATTCCTTTTTTGCTCTCATCCGTGTTAAATCTGCTATACGATGGAGCCAGCCAGTGAGGCCGCCCTCAAGGGCCCTCCCACGCGGGGATGGAAGACGTGGACTTTCAAGAAGAAGCTTCTCATCATCGGAGGGATCATCGGGTTTATCATCGCCCTGGGTATTGGTCTTGGAGTCGGACTGGGTGTTGGATTAGGCGGCGGAGGGGGAGGAGAGGAAGAGGGAGGAGGCGGGGAGACGACGCCGCCCAGTTCAGGCAATTACACCACAGCCAAATGGCAGCCCGCCGTCGGCACTAGCTGGCAGATCGAATTGCTCTATTCTTTGAACGACACCTCCGTCGACGTGGATGTTTACGACATTGACCTGTTCAACAACAACAAGTCCGTAATCAACGATCTGCAAAAGGAAGGCCGTAAAGTCATCTGCTACTTCTCCGCCGGCAGCTACGAGAATTGGCGTCCGGATAAGGACAAGTTCAACTCGGATGATCTGGGCAGCGACCTGGACGGATGGCCCGGCGAGAAATGGATCAACATCAGCTCTCCTCGCATTCGCAATATCATGCTCACGCGCCTGGACCTGGCTCAGAACAAGAGTTGCGACGGGGTGGACCCGGATAATGTCGACGGATACGACAATGATAACGGACTGAATTTGACGGAGGCCGATTCGATCAGCTACATGAACTGGATGGCCAATGAGGCGCATGCGCGCAACATGTCCATTGGATTGAAGAACGCGGGGGCAATCATCTCGTCGGTCATCAAGAACATGCAATGGAGCGTCAATGAGCAATGCGCGCAATACGATGAGTGTGACACCTACGCGGCCTTCATAAAGGCAGGGAAGCCCGTCTTCCACATCGAATACCCCAAGGGTGACGACACCAACAACAACCTGTCAGTGACCTCGAGTGAGAAGACCAAGGCGTGCAACGCCACCGACTCGGGCAATTTCTCCACGGTGATCAAGAACATGGACCTGGACAATTGGATCGAGATGTGCTAGCAGGGCCGTTTTCAGATGAATGGAATGTAGGGACTGGTATTTGTCACACAAGCAAGGGCGCAGGGAGTTTTGATAACGATATCTATTGTACTGTAAATGATTGCTACTATTATCTACTATGATGTAATCCAGCATTCGTCTAGAAAGTTTATAATTGATCGTCACTTGTCATATGCAACACCCACACCTTCTCCCTGGAATACCTACCTACCTGCTTGCTGTCATTGACAACCTCTTTCTCCCCGAGCAACATCATGCATAACACACCTGCCATACCATGCCATACCATGCCATCCTCTCACCCGTCTCACTCTTTAGTCTCTAGAGACTAGAGTCTAGTGCAACAATAATCGTAT